CAGCAAATGTTGCATTGGGGCAATGGTTACAGGGGCTATAATTGTCCCTCCAATCCTATCCAGAGGGCTGTTCACGGGCCCTGTGTGCGGTCGGACCACACACAGCCTCGAAGCTCCGCCCACTGCGGCCCTACGTCAGCCTTCCGTCACCGCACACAGCGATCGCTGTGGCCGGTCGGGACTGGCCACAGCGGACCGTCCACCGCACGCAGCCGTGACGTCAGAACCGCCTACCCATCCCCTACCCCCACGCCTGCTGGACGCACCGCACACACCACACGCAGCAGTGTGCAGTGCCCGTGAACACCCCTCTGCATGGATTTGAAAAATTAAGTTATGTAATGAATTAACACTTTTTAGTTGGGCAAGAGACCATCTTCACTCATTATATTTTTGCCAAAAAGCAATGACAACACGCGCTCGACCATTGGCACAGCTGCCTTCTCGGAAGCTGTTTGTTTTCATGTATTCACCGACTTTGAATAATAGGGCATTTGCAAAGATCAGGTGCAAATATCTGATCTTTGCTAATCCCAAAGAATGCAACCTGTGAAATGATAATACCAGACAATGCATGCTTATAAGTGACACTAGAACTGAGTGGTACTGCAATCTGTACATAAGTTTTGCAATCTGTGTATAAGTTTTGTAACATCTATTTTTTAACTATTTTTTATCTTTTTTTTAACTATTTTTTATCTTTTTTTTATCTTTAACTATTTTTTATCTATTTTTTAACATCTATTTATTAACATCTATTTTATGTATAACATCTATACATAAGTTTTGCAATCTGTGCAATCTGTGTATATCTGCAATCTGTGTATAAGTTTTGCAATCTGTGGATAAAGAACATCTCCATCTCAACAAATGTCATGTTAGGGTCTGATATCAATGGATCAATGGATAACAATATGTTTTATCATGATTTCAATAGAGCTCTTAAAAACAAAGAGGTTGGATCTATAATTTCATCACATCCAACATCATCAAGATCCATTTGATCAGATCCCAGAGCTATTTTTCAGATCCATGCATGTGCAACATCTTGATATTATAAGGAATGGCTGTATCAAATCACAGTCACATGCTTAAATGGTTGCCACTCCTTGACATGATTCTGTTTTGCTCATACCTACTACACTCTACATATTATGCCTTGTATACCTGGCCTCAATAATTCTGAGTCAGTTGAGTTGAGTAGTTGGTCTGAATGAATCAAATACCATAGGTGTTGACCTAAGTGAGATGTCTTATGTCAAATGTGATTTATTTTGCAGGGGTGGCAAACATCTGATCTCTGCCTGACAAGACAGAGTGGCAATAAATAATAGTGTCATTTCATCTGAGCCATCATGACTAACATCAAGCTCCAGAGCTCTGATGGGGAGGTTTTTGAAGTGGATGTCGAAGTTGCCAAGGCCTCTGTTGTCATCAAAACGATGCTAGAAGACCTAGGTAAGATTTTGTGTGTGATTTTAGCAGCTATGAGTATGAACGAAGAGGTGGACTTGTGACCTTGTGTGATATAACATTGTGCGTCAGGCAATTTGCCAACAGCTCTTCCTTGTGGTGAACGCTGGGCAGCATTGGCTGAACAACTGGCTCTATAACTACTCAGCCTTTTCAGTGATGAATATTACGGAATTCAGGGTGGCCAATGGTTCAGCTTTATCTCTTCCTGACAGTCACCCAATCGACCATAGCATAAAACTTGCAACTGCGGTATGCACATCGCACAATGCAATATGCATAGCCACATTTCTGGAGAGCAGTGCCAACAAAACACCTCGAATCTGCGGCCTGAGGACTGCCATTTCTCCCTGACATGGTCCGCGTCAAGACCACCGTCCCCACCGTGCTTTCTGACGTTGTTTGCGGCACTCTCCCCAGGCGTTGATGAGGGTGAGGAGGAGATCGTCCCCCTGCCCAATGTGAACGCGGCCATCCTGCGCAAGGTGCTGCAGTGGGCCTCGCACCACAAGGACGACCCGCCGCAGCCCGAGGATGACGAGAACAAGCAGAAGAGGACGGACGACATCAGCAGCTGGGACGCCGACTTCCTCAAGGTGGACCAGGGCACGCTCTTCGAGCTCATCCTGGTGAGTAGCGCTCTGCTGGGTTCTATGTGTCGAACGAGATGAATGGGAAAATGCAGGCGCCGTGGGAGAAATTTACGTTTTAGTTTTCCATCTTTAAATAGATTAATGAAAGAATGAAAATGGGAAAAATAACAACATACTTGAAACTTAAAATAATGGAAGTAATTGAAACAGGTCATCACTTAACAGCTAACACAATATTATACAGTATTATACATTATACAATATTATACACAATGATTTCGTCGGATATACATGACGGGATAACACATGGTGACAGGATGACATTGACAGAATAATACAGGCATTCACAAGAAATGTCTGTTCGTATGCATCATCCCATTCAGATTGCTCCACTTGTTTATGTGACATTTGATTGTAAGCGGCTACAAAATACCTATTTTCAATGGCGTATGGTTTGAGCGGACTATCTTGCCTTTTTTAAATTAAAGTAATTTTAGGTATCGGCTTGGTTATAATTCGACTGTAATAATTTGCATTCAGAAGCATGCAGCTAGAATTAGATACTACCCATTGTCATAATTGCATTTGGTGGTATCTGCCTGCCAAAAATCAAGAACTTGAATATGTTACTCTTAGTTATTTGCCAGCTCTATGCTGTCTGTAATATTCAAAGGCGAGATAAGATATTCCAGTCATTAAACGATATTGCATTGTCAAAGCAGTAGCTGTCGCTAGCATTGTATTCCCTGTGCCACCACGTCTGTCTCGTGTGTCACTTAGGCGGCCAACTACTTGGACATCAAGGGCCTTCTGGACGTCACGTGCAAGACAGTGGCCAACATGATCAAGGGCAAGACGCCCGAGGAGATCCGAAAGACTTTCAACATCAAGAACGACTTCACTCCTATCGAGGAGGAGCAAGTCCGCAAGGAGAACGAGTGGTGCGAGGAGAAGTAGGCAGTCGGGGGAGAGTGGAACTTAACCCGGCGCCGGCGTCCGCGCGCCGCTCTGTGCGATCCAGGAGCGGGTCCCGCCGCGGACCTCCGAGCGGGCCACACGGCGCGCGGACAGCCTGGCGGACATTGAACCATGTGAACGCGCGAGCCCAGCCGACCGCGATCGGGTCGAGTGTTTGTTGATTGTGATCCCGGCGCGGCTGATGCAGTGCAGTGTAGAGGACTGGCTCAGACTCGGACAGGCCAGTGGGGAGCGCTGGCCACCGTCCGCGACTTAGAGACTGACTCAGCGTCGGCCGGCCTCGGCCAGCGGCGGTGTTCGAACGCGTCGCTCGGTCCTACTCCAATGCCATCTATCCCCGACCAGCCCAGGCGTCGCGCGCGCAATGCCCCTTTGGTTAGCATCTTTCACGCGCTTCGCTGACCTAGATTTGTGAGTTAACATTGTGATGTAGAAGCCAGAAGGTAGTTGATGGGCACAGCTGTTGGTTTGAGTTTCCCCTAAGGCATTCCCATGTGATCCCAGTAGCAGCTATGCGGTATCTTTGATTCCTCCGGTTATCTTCTTATTCTCTATCCCATGAGTATGCTACCGCTATTTGCTGTGGATATGCTGTTGCCAGTTTTTATCTTGAATTCAAACGCTCTGAAATACATTTTTGAAATCAGTTCTGTTTTAATACCTAAGTCAAAGCTTCCACCTAACCAAACTACCACTCTAGCGAACTGGGTGTCTTGTCTTGCGGGAACCATGCATCTTTTTGTGTTCTTTCTGAAAGGAGATCGGGTATGATGGGCGTGCAGTATAAAATGCGCTAGCAGTTAGTCCTGACGCGGCCTTATCCTTTTCTCGGTTCCCCCTCCCCCTCCCCGATCCCACTCAGGCTACACCGTGCTATACCGCCGGAGTGGGCACCGCTACGGTCGCCAGAGGCTGCAACGGAGCTGTCGGTGCATTGGTGTAGACTGGGGACGGTGCGGGTGGCTCAAGTTCTGATGTCTGGGGCTCTCCAAGTTCCCCGGCTGAGTCACGAGCGGCTAGCGGACCGAACCTTCCCGGGTCGCCGAGGTTTGGCTGGCTAGTGGCTCCCTCAATCGTCAGTGCGAAAAGGTCTTGCTATCAGGTTCCTGGTATGTAGCTATGGCTACGCTGCAACTGTGTGTGACGCTGCTTTTTTTCTCCTAAGGTATATACGATCACTTTGAATCTAGCTATCTGATTGGCGAAAAACTGCAGTGAATGCCGCGTGGAGATCGCAACCCCTTCAAAGAACTGTGAACAGTGTTAACTGTTTGTTTATGCCATTTTATTTCGATAAAGCATGTCACAGCATGGTATTCCACCGCGAGTTACGGTCGATGGTACTGCCATTTGAGTTTAGAGATGCCAGTAACAGCTGCTGCAGTCACACATCCAGACAGACGCGGTGCAGAACTCAGGAGTCCAGGACCACTCGTCACACTCACACTCAACGCCCGCGACGAACAACGCTGATAGCACACGACAGTCGCAGAGCTGATGCGCACAAACTCCACAGAATGCGCACAAACACACCCACATCGAGGAGTTTTGGTGCGGCTAAAATCGGTTTGATCGCCCTCCGATATCGGGCGCCGCATCCGCGGCCGGTCGCCGTGCTACGGGTCCCGTGGTCAATACCCGATTCGGTTGTTTGCAGCTCTGCTGCCTGGGTGACGCCGAACGCGGACTTCCCTCCCTCGGGAACAAACAGTGCTGAATGGTGCGATGATTTTGGATCACGATAGGCCAGATTCTGATAGGAATAGTCGGTATTTCCGCGTCTATCTTATTGGCGAAGCAGATCGGTCGTATTATACTGTGAATGTCATAGATGCATCATGTAGAACTAGTGAACGGTTTGTGGGTGAACTTTATAATTCACACATCTAGTTAAAAACGCAACATAAAATGCGGACACATGTCCGCATGTGTTGTAACAGTATTATAAATTTACGAAAGTGACTAGGCGGGATATCACCCAATGTGTGTTGTGAAGTGCACGTAACAATCATGAAACACGTCGTAACCTACACGATGCTCGGTTCAAAAAGATCCGGTTAAGTGCATGACTCCACGTAAGCTCGGCTTTAACATAAGTGAAAACTGATGCGATTCTGTTGTAGCAGGACGCCCGCTTCAAATGTGTTTGGCTCCTTTGATATTATTTCTAGTACTCATCTTCTTCGTCGTTATCAACTACTCCTGCACCAACCTCTTCATAATCCTTCTCCAGAGCGGCCAGATCCTCACGGGCCTCGGAGAACTCACCCTCCTCCATGCCCTCGCCGACGTACCAGTGCACGAAGGCGCGCTTGGCGTACATCAGGTCGAACTTGTGGTCTAGGCGCGCCCAGGCGTCCTGGATGGCAGTGGTGTTGGACAGCATGCAGACAGCGCGCTGCATCTTAGCCAGGTCGCCGCCGGGCACCACGGTCGGCGGCTGGTAGTTGATGCCCACCTTGAAGCCGGTCGGACACCATTCGACGAACTCAATGGTGCGCTGGTTCTTGATTGAGGCGATGGCGGCGTTGACGTCCTTGGGAACCACATCACCACGGTACAGGAGACAGCAGGCCATGTACTTGCCTCCTCGAGGATCACACTTGACCATCTGGTTGTCAGGGTTGAAGCAGGCCTTCGTAACTTCATCCACCGACATCTTCTCGTGCTGGGCCTTCTCGGCCGAGATGACTGGTGCGTAGGTGACTAGCGGGAAGTGGATGCGCGGATACGGCACCAGGTTCGTCTGGAACTCCGTGAGGTCCACGTTGAGCGCTCCTTCGAAGCGCAACGAGGCAGTGATTGAGGAGACCACTTGGCTGATGAGCCGGTTCAGGTTGGTGTACGTCGGGCGCTCGATGTCCAGGTTCTTCTGGCACAGCTGGTAAATGGCCTCGTTGTCGACCATAAATTCCACCTCAGTGTGCTCCAGAGTTGTGTGCGTGAAGAGCAGTGCGTTGTACGGCTCCACCACGGCTGTGGCCACTTGCGGGGCTGGGTAGATCGAGAAGCACAGCTTGGACTTCTTGCCGTAGTCGACGCTAAGCCGCTCCATCAACATCGAGGTGAAGCCGGAGCCGGTGCCGCCGCCGAACGAGTGGAAGATGAGGAAGCCCTGCAGGCCGGTGCACTGGTCGGCCAGCTTCCTGATGCGGTCCATGGACACCTCGTCGACCTCCTTGCCGATGGTGTAGTGTCCGCGGGCGTAGTTGTTGGCGGCGTCCTCCTTGCCGGACTGAAGCTGAGACGGGTGGAAGAGTTGGCGGTACGTGCCCGTGCGCACCTCGTCAATCACAGTTGGCTCGAGGTCTATGAACATGGCGCGCGGCACATGCTTACCGGAGCCCGTCTCGGAGAAGAACGTGTTGAAGCTGTCGTCGTTGGCCGTGTTGGTGTCGGATGGCATCTGGCCGTCGGGCTGGATGCCGTGCTCGAGGCAGTAGAGTTCCCAGCAGGCGTTGCCCATTTGGACACCGGCCTGGCCGATGTGAATGGAGATCACCTCACGCATGGTGGAGGGAAATGAGATACGAGAAAGGAAGAACGAGAATCGACTCTGGACGTGTTGCCTCAGCGATAATCGGACCTGGCCTGATGCCGGGAAAGACCTCAAGGGACGTTTCCCGAATGGACACTCACACGTAAGTGATCTGCAGGTGTTCTGGTAAAACTTCTCCGACCAGCCAGTACAGCCTCTGACACACAACTCGGGACATGTATCCAGTACTGGGGCGCTGCTATTAGCTCCGCCTGCCTGTCAGACACTGTAGGGGGCAATGTTTTGGCTCGTTGCTAGGGAATGAGGAGGCCACTGGGTGATCGAACAATGGATCGCCGGCCGGCGCGCTGCTGGAAGCGGCGACAAGGACGGCTCGCACGCAGCTCTGTTTACACCTGTGTGGCGATATCTGGACACGCCTGTCCAACGTAAATATCCTGTGGGACAGGACGTCAATGCTGATGTCCCTGTGGCGTGAGGAGGCTCTATAAAGCAGGAGGGGAAATGGAGGCGTAAAATGATGGGTTCTTAGGAAATAGCTCAGCAATGAACGTATACCTGCCAAACATACCTGCTTCATTGCGTTCTGAGGGAAAGAAGACAGAACCTGAACTGTTTGAGTCGTCGACGATATATCTGCTTGGGAATCAATGCCTGTCTATCGTGATGATGGTTACAGGGTATTGGAATGTCGAAAATTGAATGATAAGCAGCTTTAACGGTTCATACTTAAAACGGAAGCCCACAAATTGCATCTCTTAAGAAAATCGTTATTTAAAATCAGGGTTGCGGAATGCGGAGTGCATGGATTGTCGGTGACTCCGACTCCGACTCCGGCTTTCAAAAACCAACTCTGACTCCAGACAGAAATGTCGACTCCGACGGCCTCCAAATCCGACTCCGACTCCGTAGAGGCCTGGCAGGGCTGCGGAGTCGAAGGATTTTCGGTGACTCCGACCCCGACTCCGGCTCCGGTTTCCAAAATTGACTCCGACTCCGACTCCGGTCCGAACTGTCGACTCCGACCGACTCCGACTCCGACTCAGCAGCCCTGTTTAAATACGCCCGGTTATATATGACAAGATATAACCGGTTTTTCCGCGACACAACGAGCGTCTTTGGGGCGGCCCCGGAGCCGGGCCGGCCTCTGCGAGCAGCGTTCGGCGGCAGGCGGGCGGCCGCCTGCGCCCCCGGGCGGCAAGGCCGCTAAGGCGGCGGCCTCATCTGATTGGTGGAGCGACTTGTGTCACGTGACGGTGACGGCGCGGGGTTTGAGTGCATTTGCGCGGTCACTCTGTTCTAAGCCGCCCGGTCTGACGCGAGTCAGCAGTGTTCTCGCTCTGAAATGTTTTTGCGTTTTACTGCGGTCGTGTTCAGTGGAAGCTGGAAGACATCAAGGGGAGTATAAGTTCGGTTTTATATCAATGTTATATTGATTGACGAGCATGTTTTTTTTCCTCTCGGGGTTTTTATGTTTATTTTTTACTGGTTTGTTGTTTCTGTCTTATTTTTTTTCATTTTCGGCATGAGGTCTGGTTTTTTGTGTTTATGTTATGCTATCACGGTAAGAAGAGGGTCGATGAGCAATGGGTCGGCAAATGCCCGGTATTATAGGTTCTTTGAAGGTTAGATGAAACAACGAAACTTGGACTGCTGGTAGAAATAGGCTTGGTGTGTTCTTCAGATTTTGGGAGATTGGGTGTAGGTATTTGCTAGGTGTAACATAGCTGTAACTGTTTTTTGTTTCTTCCCTGGAACGGAGCGCCGGACTTTGCCATTCTACACTCCGCGTGAGTGGAATCAGCTCATGCTTTCTCGGTGTAGCAGCTCAGAGTGCACGGCCTGGCCGGCGTAGGGTTTGGTGGCCACGTGGTGTTGGCCGGTGGTTGTGCAGAGAGTTGGTAAAATTGCCGTTTTGTGGTGCCTGGTGTTGGTTGAACTGTGGTTCCCATACAGGTGAACGGTTACTGGCGTAAGGTGTGCCAGGTGGGCGTGCCCCGTGGAGAATGAGCTGCTGGTGATGTTGGCTCTGTCCGAGCGTGTCCGAGCGGGTTTTCATTAGTGGGACGGCCTTGAGTGGGTTAGGGATTGTTGATAACAAGGGTACCAACTACCGGGTGAGACTTGAGAGGGTAAATGGAGTTCATGCTAAGGATAAGCAATGCAATGGCATTGGTCTAAGTGGTATTGTTATCTGGTGTTGATAGGTTGGAATGAAAGGTTTAGTGGGTGATGCATGGAGGTACAGAGGTGATACAGTGGAACCCAGTTTGGGTGTGATAAGTCTCGGCGGACTAGGATATTATGGATTAGATGGGGAATTATGTAAGATGGTTTTGGGATGCATTAGCGATAGCATAGTAAGTTACAGGCTATTACCCAGAGGAAGTTTTCACACCCATGTTTAAAGGCTGCAGTAGGTAGGCATGCCATTTTCTAGGATGCAATTTTAGGGTAGCCCATGATTGTGTGGCTCTCACTCTGCATTGAGGTACGAGTGAACTGTGTTTCGTTTTTTTTATGGTAGTGGCGTTTGTAAATAGTTTTTTTTTTGCCAGAGTGAGGTGCCTTTCTTGTCGTTGGTCAATAGAGCCTTGCCTAGACATGCATAAGCGACAATCATCATAGTAATATTGGTATGCAATATGCATATCCTGCCGATATGTCATCACACGCATTGTGAGATAAATGGCCCCGGTATATATAACCCCCTTTTGATACGAGATTTCGGCTAAAAATGGTTGTGACACAATCTGTTTTTTTTTTCTTCTTCCATGGCTTGGTGGTTGGCATCCGAGTCTGAACGGCGACTGATCGGCACACTCGGCGGGGCCGGCCCGCTTTGGCAGAGTCTTCTCTGGCCGCTGAAGGATTCCTTCACAGCTCCCACGTCAGCTGAGGGAGTTCCGACCCCTCCCAGCTCATCTTGCTCCAGTGGTACTGCCTAGCAGGTCTTACGGGACATCGTCAGGTATAGGCCAAGGTGGCCGGGGTTTTGAAAGGTACGTTATTCCATGTACGGGGCCGGTACATATCTGTTAATGAAGGTTCTAGGGGACCCGATAGGGTGGATTGTGAACGCTTGGGCATGGGCGATATCGGCATTTTTGAGGGGATGTTTGGTTCCACCAATAGGGACATGAGGGCAATGCTGGTGGAAAGTGAGATACTATGATAGTAATAAAATTATGATAAAATCGTTAGGCGAAGCCCGAAGATAAAAAATGAATCTATAGCAAGTCTAACGTTAGACGTGTTTTCAACCTTGGTTTGCTGCTGCTGCTGAGGGTTGTTAAATCGTCTGTAACTATCTTCAAAGCGGTCTATTTCTTAGCAAATTATTTCTACTTGTCGCTATAAAATATGAGATGACCTTTCTCCTGCAAAACAGCGAATGAACATTGAACAATACAGGTCAGGTACTATCATTAATAGTTAAAATGAAGGAAGTCAGTATGCGTTGTTAGGACTGGGAGTTCCCCTCAGTGTCCCAAAATTGTATTTTGGCTTGGGTGGTCAAAGGAAAATTCCTGGGGGGCCGGGAACAATTTTCAGGGGGGGGGGTGAGCATATAAAATACCTGACATGATGCATATGAAACGGTGGCGTAGCTAGGGGTCTAAGGGGACACGTACCCCACCTCCCCATCGGGTTCAAAGGGAGCCTCGCTCGGGTCCGAGGGGCCCTGCGGCGCCATTTGACCACTGGGGGTTAACAATGGCCATATAGAAGGGCCCCATGGGGCACGTTAGAGCTCCTCATGGACCCTAATTGCCACACTAAGATCTCTTTAAGGGCCCTACGCCGGATTCTGAGGGCCTCCTGGGCCTTTATAAGGGCTCCTCAGTGGTCTCCCAAGGCCCGTTACTGGCCTCTGAAAGTTCTTACCGGCCTATGAGGGCCCAGTTCTAGGGGCATTTCCTGCCTGTGATGGTCCCACAATTATTTTTCTGATGGCCCTATAACGGCAACTGTGGGGGCCCTAGTCGGCGCCTATGAGGGCCCACACCGGTGTCTGAGGGTTTCACATCCCCAACTCTTGAGTGCCTACACTAGTGCCTATAAATGCCCTATATCGGAGACTCTGAGAGCGAGGACCCTAATCCCTACCCTACCCAATACCTGCGCATCTATAGGCCACCCACTGGTGACTTCTGAGGGCCCCACACCGGTCCGGTGACTCTCAGGGCCCCACCGGCGTATGATAGTACCATGCCGGTCTCTAAGGACCCCACAGAACTTCTTCTGCTGGCCTAAGGGCCTCTTGCCGGTCACTGAGAACCCCCTGCCGGCTTGTAGAGGGTTAGCGTCAGCAGCTCAGGCCCCACACCCGTCTGTAACGGCTCCACACCAGCGTCTATGAGGGCCCACAGCAACGCCTGTAAGGACCCTCACCGGCGCCTCTGAGAGAATCATACTGGCACCTCTGAGCGCCCACACCGGCACCTGCATGACATTCCCACACCAGTGCCTCTAAAGGCCCCTTACCGGCGGCTCTGAGGGCCCTACGCCGGTGATTCTGAGGGTGCTAACGATAACCGAAGACACCACAAGCCCTTAGTGTCGCTGAGCTTTTAATCCCATACCGGCCTTCCAAGGACGCCACGTAAGTGCACTCATTGCCCCACACCCCTCCCTTACACCCGGAGCGGGTAACCTGTGTTATACCTGTAGCAACGATTTTACCACCGTTGTACGTTAGGTATTTCTAAAGGTTGACTCAAAATGGTCCAGTATAAAAGCTGGCCTGCCAAACTTACCTATGGCCAAGGCCAGGCCCAAACAAAAGCGGGATGACAACGGCAGATGTCAAATCGATACTGTAACAGCAGAAACCATTCAGATGGCAAGGAAAATGCCGGGTGTTGATGTTTAGATGTATAAAGGAAACAAGAGGAAGTCCGGAAAAGGGAGGAAAGATCCTTTCTCGCTGCCTCAATGTTGAGGGGGCGCCGTCCCCTCGGCTCTCAGGTGTGGGGGGGGGGGGGCAAGCGCCCCCGCTGCCCACCTGTTTCCCGGGTCTATGAAAATTACTCACCAAATAAGGGATAAGGGTGGAAAATTGATGGTCAGATAAGGCCTAAAAGACTGGAAAAAGAATGTACAGCAAAATTTAATACAAGGCTGGTATGTGGGAAGTAA